ATAAGAACGGTGGGAAATGGGCAATGTTAGTAAGCCACAGGAATGTGCAAACAGCTTCAACTACTAGGGCAGAAAAGAATTCATGTATTCTAAATAGAAAGAAACATATCTATATATATTTTTAAACCTTATTTTTACACGTTGTCTGCATGCTGGATAGCTTGCACTCCCATGAACACTTGAAAACAAGTTCTTCAATAACCCATAACTCCAGATTCGTCGTGATCCCAAAAGCTGCAGCCAAGCTGGGCAGCCATGGGCAGAGGGCAGAAGCTTCAAGGGGTCAGATTTGGGCTGAGCAAAATGTCAGGGCAAACTTCCCCTCTTCTGAGCTGTGCACGCACATGTTGCCATGTATGCATATAACCCCCCACAGCAGCTGAGTCAGAAGGTTGCAGGGGAATTTAACCAATAAGTCAGCAACTATGCATAAAATAAGATAATGATACTTATCTGCTGTAAGACTCAAAACTTGCTTAAATCAGCTATGACTACTTTTTAATTGATAAATACTGTAGGCAGCAATAAAAATAGGCTTCTTTTAGTTCAATTGCAGTAGCACAACTCCAAGGCTCATAAATCTTCCAGCCATTGTACTACCCTTTGGCGTCACTGGAAGTTTTGCAATTGAGTTAGTCACTGGTTGCAGCATTCCTCACACACAGGAAAAAAAATGAGAGAAAGTAAAAACTAACAGTGCTGAATGGTTAGTGCTGCTTTGGATGACCTGACTTCTTCTTTCTTTGGGTATATTTTGGCCATTTGGAAATGCAAAATGCCACAGTGATGGTCATTTATTTTATTTCCAAATGCAGAAAAAAAAAGTAGCCAGGATTTTGCCCATGAAGAACTAGGATCACTTTTCCCTGTCTCCTGTAAGGGCTGGCCCACTAGAATTTCAGTTACATATAGCAGACTTTGGAACTTTAAAATTAAGATAATGTACTGAAGAAGTGCTAGTGTATTTAGTTCTCAAAATAAAGATATTTCTCAGATATTCAGATGTCAAGAGGTTACAAAAATTAAAATCTATCTGTAATGGGGATCTTTTGCGACTCCTCCCCAAAAGTGACACTGTTGTATGGTGGTTAGGTTGACGAACACAATCTGGAATAAAAGCAGACAATTTTATTTATATATTTAAAATGATGGCTTTCTGGCCTTTAAATGAATGACACCCAGCTCAGGGAAGAGGGAGAGTTTGGAACCATTGGCAAATTGCACATTATTTCTCTGCTTTGTCCTTTCTCCTTTGCCTCACTCAGTTTACACCGAAATTTAGCCACTGACTCCCACTACTGTTTTTCTTGGAGAGCAGAGTAGGACAAAGAAATGTTGTAATTAAATGTAAAAGGTGCCCATACATTGTAATAAGAGCTGGATTCCATGTGTTTTGGTAATAAGAACGGTCTTTCCAGGGAGAAGGGAAAAGTAAGACAAGGTGGTTCAGGTCTATCAACTTTTGAAGCTTGAAGCCATTCTCAGTTCCTACCATCTCTGATCCCTTTACCCACCTCAAACACACACACAAAAGTGCTTTGTTACTCCAACATGGTTTTAAAACCTCTTTCTGCACCAGTTGGTCATGCTGCTGCCACAACATTCACAGACGTTTGAGATGTGCTGTGCTTCCATGTGTTGCACACATGGCCAGTGACTCCTCTGCCACCAAGACTCACACAGTCACAGTCACCATCATAAATAAGACAACCAGCAGCAGTTGCTACATGCTTCCTTCTCACAGGGAATTAGGATGGTGAGCTGGAATTCAACTCCATTCTTCACCTGTGTAAGTACCTGGGAAACAATTCACTTTTTATCCTTTCAGGAGCTCATGTAGGCGTAAGTCCCATTGCAAACCTGGCCACAGGCCTTCAGTCCTGTACCACTCAGCTGCACTTGTGGTTCCTGCAGCCCTTTGCAATGGTAATTCCACAATCTTCTTCTTTTCTCTTTTAGTTTTTTTAATTTGCTTTGTGTCTAAGGATGTCGCTGTCGGTGTCTGTGGAGTTTGAGGAGCTTATTGCCTTCACATGTGGTTGGAAATGGGCCTTGGTTCTGGGAAAGCAGTTGTTTGCTCACATTGCAGGGAAAGCCAGACGCATCCTGTTGCTCCTGCAGATGATTTCAGTAGCTGCCACAGAGTACCCCATTGCTGCAGTTGGAAGGATGGCATTACTTATTTAAGATTACGGATTATTTAAGATTATTCCATTGCTTAAATAAATCTGAATTTGTTTTTTTTTTTTAATGTGTATGCATACATGCAGCAAGGGATTGGATATCATTTTGAGTGTATGTGTAGGTGCATACATAGCATTGGATTTGATACTGTTTGCTTGTTTTTAAGGCAACTCAGTTTTCCTTCTTACCAAGCACAGAGAAAATAGAAGTCAATCTATTTGCCAGCTCCCTCTAGCCAGAAACCTTGGTTTTAGGTTCCTTGGATTAGGAAAATTGGAGGTATTGTCGTCTGATTCACTGACAGTGCCGACGGCTCCTGATTTGGGAGCTTGGATCTTGCAGTGCGGCGGTAGCTGCTCAGGCAGTGGCAGCGCTCATTCCCCTTGGCGCCATGTGCAAGTGTACGTTCTCTGTATGTCTTCAGCTGCGGCAGCATCTTCTGCATCTGGCCACCTTCCCTTTCTTCTTCCAAGCAGTTCATAAATCCGAATCCGTGAATTTGGCAGAGCAGTTGACTTTGAATTCTTTATCCTAATGATCCAGGCACACCCTGATGTCAGGTCTTACAACCACATATATAAGAAGCACTTGCATAGCTAGTAATCATAGCGCCAGTCTTACTGCGCTAAGAGTTGGTCTAGCTTACAAACAAAAAAATGGCCAAAAGATGCCAAGTTTGTTTTGGGTTGCTGTTGTTATGTTTTTTTTCTTCCTCCAACAAATTTAGACGTTTCAAATAATTGTTTTTGTACAGCATGAAAAAGAAAACAAAGCCTTTTCAACACTTTCACACAGCTTCTGGTTAGAAGCCTGATTTAGGGCATAGATTCAAATCTCTTCATAGTCAAAAAAAAAAAAGTGTACTTTCTTGCTCCCAACTGCTGGTATTTAGCAGGGAGAAGGGAACTTAGATGCTGCTCTGTCCACATCAGACTCCCCAAATTTGCTAGATTGTCTAGCTGTCATTCTGCCCATTCAGTTTAACAGGTGAAGAGCTGCCTTAGGAAAAAAAAGAAAAACCCTTCATTTTTATAAAATGAGATTGAGGTCAGCTTTCCTTACAATCCTGCAAGTAAGAGACCCTGCAAGTGACTCTCCCAGCATCCCATTTCCAGGAATGAGTGCCAAGTTTCTTTGGTTTGCTCACAAGTTGCTGAATTGATAAGATTATCAGCAGGGTTTTGTTAGGTGATTGCAAATGTGCCAATAAAAAGAAGTGTATCACTTTTTCCCCTCTTAAATAATTCACTGAGTGTTTTTATATTACTTTCTTCTGTGGGTTTATAGCTTAATATTCCTTACTACTGTATTTATTAAAAGAACATATTATCTTAAAAAGGTATAGCCATATATATGTGTTTGTGTGTATGTATATGCACACATAAACCCCCAGAGTTAAGTATTGTATCGTTAATGAAATACTTGGCTCAGTAATGCTTTATTTTTTTTTACTAGCATCATAAATACTTCTTTACCAGACAAAAACAACTTTGGCACGGCAATACACTTTGTACAGCTTCAAATTATATCTCAAAAACTAAAGAGGTCATTAATTCACTCGGAGTTTGTAAAATAACCTGAAAACGTTCCCACTGCCAGCTAATATTCTAAGCAACAGCAATATAGGAGCTGCCTAGTTCACAAGGACCCTAAGTGCAAAGGGCTGATGATATTTGTGAGAGCCGACCAGCAATTTACCTTGTTATTAGCATCGTTTTGGTGTCATGAGCTCTTACACAGGGGAATTATGTAATATCATTACGCATTGACTCTAAAGACCAACACTTATGGTGATTCTTTACATCAAAACTACACCAAAATACCTGAACGTGTTTAGACTGTTGGGGGAGTTGGGAAGGGAGGCGGGGAAGAGCTTTTAGCTTGTTTTTGCTTTTTAATGAAACCTGTACTAACAAGCCCAGTTAGGAAGGCAGCTCTGCCCTGGAAGTGGATTTGGATTCATGAATCCCTATATCTTGACTAGCTGTATGTTTGTTGTACTTCCACAATAATAATTTGGCTGAGAAACACCTCTGTGAATACTGAGTATTATGAATTTTTCACTAAGTACCAGGATAGAAAAGCAAATGCCAGACATGGTCAGATTTGTGGTACAGATTGTGAGCATTAACCTAACGTAGAGAGGAACTTCAATTTCTATTAGTTTCCTATGTATTTTATGTAAGGGGTCACTGCTATTTTGCTGAGTCTTTCTGTAAAACTAGAGAAAGTAGAGGGTTTTTTTTTTAAAAGATTTGAAGTTCAAAGTCATAAACTGACATTATTTTCTACAATACCAATGCCATTGTGGACATGGCTTGCTTGGTTTGTACTATTCCAGATGCATCCTGAAAAATAACTTTTTTATATATATGTATTTTCAGCACATCTTTAGGCAAGAGAGAACTCAGTTTGCTGCAATATAAAGTTTTTCAGCTCCTCAGGGAATAAGGCCAGTTAAGCTTCCTGGAGCAGTATCAAGAGCAGTGATGGCCACCAATGTTATTAGAATATCGTGGTGTTTCAGAAGATGATCAGCTGGATGATCCTGCATTTGGATTCAGTTCATGTTGGCACAGCTTTATTAACACAGACAACGGTCTCCATCTCCACCTGTAATATTCCAGGGACACATAATATAAGCACTTTATAATGTGCAAATGCTGCTGTTACTCAGAGAAAAAAAGAAGGGGGCAGGGGGGAGGAGGGGAGATTAATTTCAAAAAATACTATTGATAAGGCAATAAGATATACAAGTGTTCAGGAAAAGTTATGGAATCATTAAAACTAACAGAAAAATATTCCAGTGGACAAGCTCAAAAATCAGTTCTTTAATTTTTAAATCTGCACAGCAATAATTGAGACAAATTAGCCTATGAAATATTTTGGAAAATGTCACTTTACAAACCTTGTAGATTGCTTAAATGTTTATTAAAATAGACCAAAAGCCAAAATTCTCTGGGTAAAATAAATACTTCGCCTTTGCTAAGTAACAATATTTGTGAACAAAACATAAAACTATAATTTTCATGTGTCAAACATAGTAAAATTTAAGATTAAATGTTGGAGTCGGACTGGGCATTTTTTACATCTCCTTATTTACAAGCTGCTCATTAAGACCATTTACCTCACATTAGCTATTAAAATGACTAATATTTTTAAAGTTTGCTCCGTGACTAAAATAAAAACAACAGAACTGTCCTTTTACCATAACTTAACAAAAAGCAGAACCGTATTTTCGTTATCTAGGAGAACATACTGTTATAAATACAGCTGTTTTTCATCTACAATTATACAAATAATAAACATGCTGCCATTCACAAGGATTTTAATAGATGATTATATATAAGCAATATTACGATCTAGCTGAAGATGGCATGAGTTTTCATCACTCATTTTTATTGTACTTATTCAGGACCCTTGTCTTCATCTGAAAAATGTGGCACAGACTTTTTTGCTACAACATTATCCAGTCGCTGTCCTTGGAGATACGGGTTCACATTCTGGAAAATATTAAAAAAATAAAGTAAGTATGTGCTTGTGTGTGTGTGTATGTATTTGTATATGTACGTATATGTGTATGCATTTATATGTATGTGTGTATAAATGTGTATGCGTGTATATATTATATATATATATATGCATGTCTACATAGACACACGTGTTCAGGGAGATCAATAGAAGGCAGCTAGGAATAGTGGGTATATATTTCTTATCCATCAAATTTTTATGGTCTGAAAATGAGTAATTGCTCCCAGCGAGTAAATCTAAAAAATCAGTCAATGCTTTGTTTTCCAGTAAGTATTTTGTGCAAGAATTTAATCCATATCATTAAAAAGAGAAACTGCTATCTAGCCCGCAGGGGGGATAATTAAAGGGGACTGTGCAACATATGGGACAAAATACAGACTTAGACACTGTCTTTTTGCTCTACTCCCCCCTTCCACTAATTCTTGCCACAGGACAGAACTTGTTAGAAATGTACAGGTAAGCCTCATTTCAAATCATGAGCCTCTGGAGGACCTTGTGCTGGGGATAAATTGGGATACTATGACACCAGTTTTCACTGAAGTCTCTTCTTCAGCCCATCTCCTCAGCAGGGACCCCCTCCTCACTGCCCTTCTTGACGCAGAGATAAAAACTCTTCTGGCACAGAAACGCAGCCAAGCAAGATTTTGGCATAGGAAACGGCCCTCGCCACTGCCAGAAGAAGGGAATGCTGAAAGGAAAATCCCTGGAGAGGGTTTAACTTCGCTTTCACCATGTAAGCAGCACGACGCGAGAGTGAAGATGAACAGATCCTGTCCTAAGCTGGTTCAGAGAACGCGGTAATGTAGAAAGCCTCTGCTTGAATTTTATCTTTACCAATGAAATAAAATGTATGCATTGCATTTGTACCTATGAAGCAGATTAATGGAGCCTTAAAATTAACTTAAATACTATTTATGCCCACTTTCAGGTCTCTTCCAGTGTCACTGTAAACAGAATTCAAGCACTCTGTTTCTAGTTCATGGATATGGAGAGAAAGGATAGTGTGCTGGGTTCCTATGCCAGTAAAAATTGTGTGTCTCTGTAAGGACAAGCTCTGGAGGATGTGCTTTTTCCAGTATCTTCTGATTCTTGTCAGGCTGACAATATCTTAGAAACTACTTTTCATGAAGTATTTCTGTACTTATTTCACCAAAACTTGGAGTTCAAAATTAGGCAAAAAAAAAAATCTAAAAACATGGATTAAAGTATTTATTTTGAAATATCCTCCCAAAATTGTCAAATCTCTGGAAAAGAGATAAAGAGATTTGGGATTTGTCTTTATGTGAGCATAAGACTTTTTTTCCCCGTATTTATTGAAGTTATCATTAATACTTAATCAAAGTGTAGAGCGGTCCTCCTTCCTTTGCAGCATTACTGATTACTTTGCTTGATACAAGTGAAAACAACAACAACAAAGTTAAGAGCCAGAAATGAATATGGAAAATCCTTGAAAATAACACCAACACTAATTTGATCCTTAAAATTAGGGTGTGTTAAAAATAAGACACATGTAAATGATTTATTTATGTTTGTTTAAAGAAGTTCTGTTTAATGTTAATTTAGTGAAATTCAGCCATTGGCTTAACTTCTAGGAATTATTTGAAGATTCTTAGGAAGATTAATTGGTCTTTTTCTGAAAGGGTACTTGCTTGGTACTTTTTGAAATAAAGTAAAACAGAATGAGAAAACATAAAAAATTTCAAACCTTTCTCTTTACTGACAAAAGAGAACATAAAATGTAATGCAAAAATTTTGGCTAATTCAAATCCTATACAGCTGTGCTGAATTCAGAGCAATGTGGTTCACAAGCACCTTTGTGCACAGCTTCAGAGATCACAGCAACGTGGCTCTGTTCAGTCAGAACCACCCTCGTTCCACTCACGCTGCTCTTTTAGGTCTAGGGTAGGACACTGGTCATGCCTGGAAACTGAAAATAGGCAGAAGCACTTCAGCTGAGTAAGAGGTCACTGGGGGCTTCCTTGTCTTCCACAGGAAAAGTTGCAAAAAAAACCAAACCGAAACAAACAAACAAAAACCACAGTAGCACATGATAAATATACACCTCTGCGTTTTATAAACTGCATGTGTATGTTCAGTATAGATGTGTATGTGTTTAGACGGATGCACATACACAGAATAAGTAGTTTTGTCTCCATTACGGCTGCACTACAGCACTGCGGACACCACGGTTCCTCTGTGTGGACAACTCCTGCATGGACAACTTCTCCAAGGGCAAGCTGGAAAATGCGATTTGCGGCCGGGTGATGTCCTCGGCAAGAAGCCTGCTTGTCTGGGAGGACCACGGAGCTGGGTCGGGGCGGGAATCGTATGGGCTGGAAAACTATAGTCTGTTGTCAACAACTCGAGATTAGCTTTTTAGCTGATGGAGGACTGTGAATTGCTCGTTGCTCTATTAGTAATCATTGCAGTATTACTCTCAAAACAGTATTTTAAGAAATGAATCCGCCGTTAAAAGACATGCCTCTGCATAAGAAGAATAAATATTCCACATAACTATTCCCAGAGTGGATTCTGCTTACTTTACAGAGTGAAAACAAGGTGTCATTGCCACTTTTTCCTTTGCCATTAACAAAGTTGAAAAGCAAATCAAGCAGGAGTCAGATCCTAAGCACACTCATGTAATAATCCTCAAGCTAGGTCATTAACTTTTGATTACAAAATGTTTATTACTGATGATATGTGATTCAGTAAGAAATCAACTCATCTTCTCACTTGCTGGCAAAGACTAAGTTTGAAAGTTTTTTAAAAAATCATCTTACGCTTTAGTTATTCCAAAACGAATCTACTCCATTTACAATATAAACCCTGCTGTCAAGTTTTACAAAGTTCATTTTGGCAGAGCTACACTTTAAAATGTAAAGCTCTGTTTTCTTCTTGCAAAAAAAAAAAAATACCAGCAGCAAAGTAAAGACTTTTTCTCTGCCTGAATGTGACTTTTTAAGAGAAGAAAGGCTTAGAGTACTGAAAAAGAGAACGCAAGTAGTGAGATGCAAAATTTCTCTGCAGGACGTGGATGGCTCTCCCTCCTTGTGTTGGGGCTGGCAGAATGAGACCCCGTTCATCTTTGTCAGTCGAACTGCTGGGACGCGGTGACACAACTTGCACGGTAAATGTAAGCAGATTGTTTCAGGCAATCAAGTTGCATCTGTGACGGGCAGTCATTTACACCTAAATAGCTACTGCCATGCGTGGGTAATTAATTTAACCCATATTTTGAACGGGAATTTTAAAATGCAGTTTAAAAGAAATTTAAATAATTTAAAATGTTTTTATGCAAACTGTTTTGCATAAAACAAAGGTTAAAAATAATACAAAGTACTTTTTTTTTTTGAATTAAAGATTTGCATTCAAATGCATCTTCTTAAGGCACAGCAGCAGGCTATTTAGAGAAACACATCCTATGCTCAGGACTGCCATGGAGCCTGTTGTGGTAGTTTGTCACAGAGATTCCCCAGCTTTAAGCATTATCTAAGTTACCATGCAGACGTCTTAGACTAAGCGTTATCTAAGTTATCGCGCAGATTGTTCATTTCAGCAATACAATTTAAACTTTGCTGCCGCTCTGTCATCTGTAGGGCTAGTAAAAGTACTTCGATAGTTACCCTCTTCCTTCTTTTTGGACTCCCATTAATCTTCTCAAAGAGTAAATTCTTGCTCTGGAGGAAAAAAAAAATGTTGCCATCCAATTACTTTTTTTTTTTAAAAAAACAGCATAACTGTTAGATATTTAGATATTAGTATATGAACATTCAGAAGCAAGCTTAGATGGGGAATGTAGATGTAAAGTTAAGAGGAAGATGAAGCACAAATAGACATTTGGATACTGCTGTAAATATTGTGCAGTTCTTCGGGACCAGCTAGTGACACCAAGCAGGGAAAGCTCAGCAGCTTTTCCTCAGGGCACCAGCCTTCCAAGCACGTGCTGGTATAACAATATAAACAGGAGGTTCCATGTGCAAAACACACCTACTTATTTAAAAACAAAACAAAAAAAGTTCAGCGAGAGTGAGCGTGAGAGAGTCCTGTCTCTGGCATGTCATCATGTCATCACATTCGAGGTGACACCAGTACAAGAGCAAAAGTATTTCCCTTTACAGGCGATTTTCTAATTCCTGTTAAACTGCAATCAGTGCCATTCCTACTGTTTTGTTGTCTTTGCTTATTTCATTCCAAATATCAACACTTTCCAGTGCAAAGTTCTGCTGAAATCAGCTCAGCGACAACCCTTTCTTTGTTTAAGTAGTGCCCTCAATAAAGTTTCTCAAAACCATTTGGTCTATAACATTTTTAATAGAGTGAACCTTTTAAAAACTGCCAAAAACATCTTGGCAGAAAGGAAAGTTATGATGATGAGGGGAAAAAAAAAAAACCCTCTGACCATAGTTTATATAAGTGCATCCACATATTGTTATATTTCATACAAGTAGTGAATTCTAATAAAGTCTGGAATAACACACACATGCTCAACACATTTTGTTTCAATTGTGTATTATGAAGAAAAACAAAACCAAACCCTAACCTGAAAATGGAAGGAGAGAAGAACTACATGTATAAAAGCAGAACACTGTATAAACAGGGCCATTAATTCTGCTATAAACAACTGACTTAACGTTGATCATATAAATAGAAAGTGTAATTCTAGTGAGAGACAAATTCACCAAACATTTCTACCCTCTGCGCAGCCCCGATATGAGAAAAAACAAACATTTTCAAGTGTTAAAATGAAATCTGCCAAAATTGTCTGTTTTGTACTCCTCGTGTACATTAAACCCCAAATTCACAAGGCCTATTTCTTGTCTAACCTCAGTTATTTTATCTCAGCTGTGCCAAAAAGGAACAGAGATGAAGTTGGCCAAGGGAGACATTCTTGCCTAGTCATTTATGCAAACTCACGTAGGGAAAACTTAACATCAAAAAAAAAACACAAAAAAACCCCCACTGATTTGTAAATTATTCTCTGTAGGAAACAAAGTGCACTGATGTTCCTCTTCATAAGCTAGTTGACCTTACACTTTTCATTGCAAGGGAATATATTTTTTTTCCTTGAAACAAAAGGAATGCCATGACTACTGCAGCTACATTCCTATCTCTCACAAAAATTCCTTCCAATTGAACTGTTCCTGCTCAGGAAAATCATATTTTGCTTAGTCCGCTTGCAAATGTTTCAAGACCATAACTACTATTATATGTATAGCATTACATGTAGAGCAAAGCCCATGAGAGCACAGCCCATGAGCTAAGCGCGTGCTGGCGTGATGACGGCGAGCGTGAGGATGTGAAGCCACCATGTAATGGCCTGACAACACCAGCTGCTTAACTTGCTTGAGAGCGCTGACCATTTCTCACCTCACACCTAAGAAATGGGGCATCGCATTTCTCAAGATGAAAACAAAACTCATCTGGAGACATGCTGCACTTCCAAAGGGGAAATCTTGATTGAGAAGGAATGTAAAGGCGGAGGCATGTCAACTCTAAGCCCTCCCAGGACTGCAGGCACCGCTGTGGCCTTGCTCCTGGAGCTTCCCTCGCACCCTGCCTAGGTACCCGGATCAGGTGCTACAGGTTGGAATCTGAGCTGAGGAACAACTGAAATAAGATGCTTGTAACCAACTAATTAGTGCCAGAAAATCTTTCACAGATCATTAGTATTGATCTAAGTCAACAATAATTAGCAGCTCTGCATTTGCACAGTTATTGAGTAAAACTGGTAAGAAAATTGCATTTGCAAGAACTCACACCTTGAGGAGGGCTATTTCTTGTCCCTAAAGCTGCCAATTTATAGCCTACCACTAATACCAAGCATGACAATTTTGATTACACCAAGAATTTGATTACAGTAGACCAAGTAATCTGTATTTGCTGTTGGAAGTTAAAAAGGGGTGTTTTACTTACCATAACCCTGCCTAGTAATCTTCATCGCCATCCATATATTTACAAATCTGAGTTGGCAAAGAAAGGCGCACTTAAGATTACTCTCAGTAATGGAAACTGGAAAAAAGCAGTCTGTGAGTGACTTTCAAGCTTTCATTAAAATCGAGAAACAAGAGGTGGTAACTCCCTTAACAAGGGGTTCAATTTTGTGGCATATTTAATCCCTACTTTCCATTTACCTTCCTTTGTACTGCCCTGGCTCCTTCCTGTAGAGCTTATAAACAAAGCCAGCATTATTTCTATCCTGAGAGTGAAATGTTATTCATTACTACAGTAAAAAGAAGTGTTGTTGAAAGACATCATCGCCGTTTAATTTCTTTTTTGTACTGATAGTCATAATGAGAAAACCTGTCTCAACTTCCCTCCCAGTTGAGAGTGCGGTGAAACCCACTACAGAGCCTGCTCTCAGATGCCCACAGGTGAGCATGTTGATATATGTTGATATATGTGAAGGTCTATCAAAGGCAGAGGAGGAAAAAAGAGAATTTTTTTTTCTACCTCAATACACATTTATCATTATGATATCTTCAAATGCATTACCAATTATTTATATATAATATCTAGCATCTACATCCAAACACAGACAATCATGGGCCTCAAAAATTGCTTTGCAAAATGGGTCTGCAGTGCAATTAAGGGGTGGTTCCTTTTGCTCAGGGATAACATACAGGTCCCACAGCTCTGCAGGCGAGACGTTAAATCACTAAAACAAGCAAACGAAATATCTGTTCCTTTCCTGTGATTCAAAAACAAGCAAGTCTTTCGTTAACTTGCTAACGTAACTTGGCATGTGCGGGTCAGTGAGATGCTCCGGCTGGGAGGGCTCTGGACCACAGTGACAGTCTTAGGCCTTCCACAGGGCCCATGATTTTGTGGAACTGTATATATCATATATCAATGCAATATTTACATTCCCTTTGGGCATCTGGTCTGAGATTTCTCTGCCAAGGCAGGAGCACAGAGGTTTCTTTGGGGGGCTACGTGGATACACATAGTGATCCACCATGCAGCTTACAATCTGCTGAGCTTTTCATTTATGACCCATCTAACATAGATGCCAGTAAGTGACCTAAAACTAGAAGATCTTATCTGCTGTATCTCTTTATCGCCCTTTCATAAAGTCTCAGTTAGCTAATTTTTAGTGAGTTCTTCTGCTCTTATTTTTCCAGAGAGGGAAAAACAATAAAAACATCTATAAAAGCAGATATCATTATATTTCCTGATCTTTTTAATGCACAGCAATATACAGCGAGGAGGCAATTGGGGCAATACTCCTGGATCTCGTCAGAACATTTGATCATGTACATTACCAGCTGTTTCATCTCTAATTAGAAAGATCTGGACTTGGCTATGCTGTAGCTAGATATGATTACTGTATGGGACCTAGCAGTCTGTTTCAATCCATGTGTGCGTAGTTTTTTCCCCTGAATTAGTAGTGATGGATGTAGAAATGAAATAAAGGCCAGTATTCACTAATGATTACCTGCCATTTGTTAATATATATGTTGTTGATGACAACGCAGTTATGTACCCTGATTCTGAAATACTGCAAAAGGCCAAAGATTTGCAGAAGTGTTTTTATAGTCTTCAGCATGGCATTATGAAAATAAATTACTTATGAATAATAAGAAAGCTAACAGCATTATCTGGCATAAATAATAAAGTTCACCATCTGGTGTTTTTAAAATGAAAACCTTTGATGGTAATTACTTAGAATGCAACAAGAGTTTCCAAAATTTGGATTTTGGCATGATTCTCTCTAGAAATTTAGCACTCACATAAGTAATTAAGGCTATAAATCTTATACTGGTTTGATTATAAATGATGAATCATTGTCTCATGATTACAGCAGGAAAAGAGCCTGCCAAACATGTTCATTTACCAATATATGCTTATGGAACACTGGGTTAGAGTAATGTTAAGTAAAGTGTTATAACAATGTATAATGAGATTTCATGATTTGTTCTAGAAGCATAAATTATGACCATTGTTATTGTTTTTCTGGCGCCTGAAGATGGATTTGGGATTGGACATTTAACTGATGTAATCTAAGATTAAGCTCTTTTTGGAGCCTCTAGCCTGCAGAAATAGCCCTCCTGGAGTCATATAAGTCCTTGCATGCATAGAGCAAGGGTTTTGCCCTTAGTGTAGCTGGCTGTGTTTATTATATGCAATGTACAAAAGGGGTTTCTGATAACAATATAATAAATTGATTCCACCATAATATATCAGTGTTCTGCTTTCATGAAAGCAAGAGGGAAGAGAAGGACAAGAGACAAGGCTGGACCGCAGGGATGAGCATTGCCCGATAGGTTCTGCCCCTGCTCCAGGGCAAGCATCCATCACTCATGCTTCCTACCAACCCCTGCTTGTTTGCAACCGGCTCCAGAATAGCCTCAGTGAGCACTCCCTGGCCACAGGGAATCCCTATGAGTTTTCCAGGCCTAGACTTTTTAAAGCCACGTTCACTGTTACAGGTCCACTGTAGTTTGACTTGTAGATTGTTGCATTTACCAAGCACATACATAGTTACCGTGCTTTAAGACAGGTAATAAAACAAGGATTTCCATTTGCTTGTAATGGGCTTTTAATCGATTGTTTTCCACTTTTCTGAACCTTTTTTTTCCAATATTTTTAAGGGCAAGGTCATCTTTTTAAACAGTTTCCCTTAGGATGATAACTTTTCCAGCAATGAATACAGTCTATTGCTTGTGGCTTCTTTCTGTCTCATGCAGCAGAAAATACCCAATATGACATGCAGCAAAATAAGGAAGAATTATGTACTACTCACCCACTTGCCCATGTTGGGATAGTCGTGCTCTGGATCAAAAAGGTGTTGGTGCAGCTGGTATTCTCTGCTGAACTCTGCTGTGTCTGGGGTGTTTTCAAGGCACCCATCGGCAACTGTAAAAGTGTGTTAGAAAATATTGAATGCCTACTGACTTTAAAAACATGCAATGAATGTGCTCATGTTTAGGGTCAACATTCTTAAAAGCTGTTGCACAAAACATGTAAAGAAAGAGATGATGAGATGACTGGAAAATATAAAGTTTTTATTCTTTTGGAAGGAGTTTTTCAGGACACACTTAAATATCTAAAAAAAAAAAAAAACCCTAAATGAGGGTTCAAAACTAAACACATTTATTTTCCAAATCCTCCCACCCTCCACCCCATTTTCTTAAAATCAGTGATTGAAACTAATTTTAGGTAGAACTGCATGTTATTCTTATTCAGGGAGGTCCTATTTTTATTTTTAAATGCCCACAGGAAGTGCTGGAAATTGTTTAAGCAATACTTTTGAAGCTCATGCTACAATGACTCTGTGAGCAAAGGCAGAATTTCCTTTACTAAGCAGCTATTCATGGAGCTCCATTGCTGGTTTGCTACTTTGTTCAAAACGGCTGCAAATCATTTACGCATCAGAGTTCCCATAAAAGCGCAAAGCGGCCCAAGTTTTGTGCTGAAGACACTTCTGAAGATTGGCAAATGATCCGGGGCATCCAGGAACAGCCTTTAATCACAGCAGATGGCTCCACAGATGGTGCCAGGCCGGACGCAACGCCCTGTTTAAAATGTGCTTATGGACTTTCCACCAAAATGAAGCGATCTTTGCCTTAAGTAAAGATCCAGAAACACTAGCCCAGAGTAGGGCTTTGGACGGGATCTGCCCCTGGCCTTCCCTTGCCTTTGCCAGCACTGCGCTCCTGCGGCCTCGGGACTTTCTTGGACTTGCCCCAAGGGATCCTCCCAGGCTGGAGCTGACGCTGGGCATGGAGCAATGGGGTCTGCCAGAAGACAGACACTCCAGAAGCTACCTGTGGGCCTTCCTTTCTGTCCTTGTGTGATCACCACAGAGAAAAAAAAAAAAAAAAAAAAAGATTTGCAGATGGATTATTTTTCCTGTGAAATGGAGGAGAAGATAATAACAGTTTAAATTAAATATGAATTGAAGTCAGTGTCCTGGGAAGGCTAGCATCCTGGAAAGCATCCAGTAGATTATGCTTTCTCTCTTTTCTCCTTAGGAGAAGAAAAAAATTGCCAGTAGGAAACAGGGAAAAACTAACCCTACTGACTAACTCAGGACCTGTTAGAGTTTAACTAGCAGCACTAGAAAAATATTTCTGTCTCTCTGGGGACAGGGCCATCTCAAACCGAGAAGCAGGTGACAAGAGAGAGGTAGCAGACCGTGTTGCAGCCTCCGTGCCATTTGCCAGCAAGCACAAAGACGAGCTGGCCATGTGTGTGTCCTCTGTGAATGCTAGTCAAAAGTCTCCGAGCTCCAGTGCTCGAGGCATGAGTATTCCCGCTGTGGAATGTGCGTATGCAGACAGGGACTGGAAAAATTGTTTTCCATTAAGCAAATCCACAGACCTGATTGAGGAAGGCCTCTGGTAATTTGTATGCATAATACAGTTTTAACAGTCACCACTTGAATTTCCATTTATGGCTCTGAAAAACATTTTACTCTAATCCTAGTAGATACTATCTCCACTCACAGCGTACCTATGACAGAGCCCCTTATCTGACTAGGCAGCACTTTCCCAAGAACTCATTCCGTGTTAATATCTGACTGTATTGTTTTAGCTAACAACTTTTATTTCACCTAAAAAAAAAAAAAAAAAAAAAAGAAAGGATTTTTAGAGTCATTTCTCTGGATACCAGGGTTTTATTTTAGGCATCTAATCACTAACTGAAGCCTGATGGGCAAGCACACAAGACAGAAAGTCTGTGTATGTGCCTGTGTGTGTAAGGAAACATAAAACCATCATTCGTAACCTGTCAGACAATAGCTATATGGAGCAAAAAGGAAACTTAGGTATTATTTCAAAAGAGACACAATCACCATCACCAAAGGGGCTGTAATAGAAAACATTAGTGAGGGCTTTCAGATTTTTTTCTGCAATTTTGAATGAAAAGTCAAAATACTGCCTGCAAAACTTTTCATGAGAAATACTTATTTTCTGATTACTTCCAAGCTAACTAGAACATTTTAAACTGAGAATATGGACACCTGCTTTGCATTTTCCAAATAACACAAATGAAGACTAAGCAGAAAAGACTTTGAAAAGATCTCTTGGTCCACCAGCGCAAACTGAAAGAAAATGGAGCGCTCATTCCCAGTTCCAGCTCCCATGGCAGCCAATGGGTGTTTTACTACTGCTCTCAGTACTGGAAATCATTCCTTGGCTCCGTGAATAGGAAAAAGATCAGTTCCCCCAGGATACGCTTCTATCATGCACATGTAGTGCTACATCAAAGATCCCTGGGCACCAGCCACACGCGTGGTTAGCTTGGAGCAGGTATATACCAAGGGATGTGCTGAGTGACCCAGGTCCAAGACCACTCCGATCCTCAGCGGCTGCGTTACCGCTTTCAGAGCAACTCGCTTGTAACAACTTAGACTATGTCCACGTAGTTCTCCATTTCTTGGCGTAGACATACCCTCAGTGAGCTATAAAGCCATGTGGATAGGAGCCAAGGTATCTTAAATATTGACTCATGGTCTGGGTTGGAGATCAGGGCAGACAGTTTCATTCCTCTGGCACAATGAAAGTCTCTAAAAAAAGGGTAAATCTCAGAACGATAACTTTTTACAGGGGCCAGCCAAAAAAAGCGCTCCCTCCAGAAAAAGACACTGTCATAAATCTCACCATCCTCTACTTGAAAATTAAGATGATTTCTTTGACCTCGCCTTCTCTAGCAGTCATACATCAACACAAAAGTTGCATATAATTACAAAAAAAAAGTAATCTACAATCCCTGATTGTTCACAATTCTGCTCCTCGGGTGGAGAATGAATGAGCACATCCACGACCGATAACCAGGTTTCACTCTGCTCAGTACAGCACTGAAAGACTCAGCTGTGTGATGAGCAGGGATGTAGGAAGATCATAGCAGAATTACCTGTTTTCCCAATGGGGCAGGGATTTGGAGGGTCAGGATATCCTTGATCGTCACTGAAATCCTTTGGTATATTGTCTCCTGTCAGCTCAGCCACGATATTTGGGATATTGCCATAAGGACCCAAGTGCTGGAGACCTTCATGTGCACCACCTAGCAAAGAAAATTTATACAGATAAACTTTAAATCTTTTAAAAAGACTAAGTACTTTAGTTTCTTCAATAAAGTTTTCTTGATTAGACTTAGATATTAAAAAAAAATGTAATTATTTTGTAGAGGTTAGATTCCAAAAACCTCTTTCCAGATACATAATCCTGTGACCTAAAACTAACAGCTAACTCACTTAGCTAATGCAAACAAAACTATAAGACAAACACAGCCACTTACTATTAATCTTACAGTGTTATTTTTTACCCTTAACTATATAAGTTATGGGTAAGAAAAATGAAAGAAAAATAAAATTTCATTATCAGAGACAATAATGGTAATGTATTTTGGTAAAGCACAATCATCTGCAACTGTATTTCTCTTCACTTTAACATGTAAACACCTGAACAAGATATGGCAAGACAGTACCTTTTCAAAAAAGCAAAAAGTTAACCACGTAAGAAAATCAAAATACAAATTCTAGGCTCTACACAGTATTATTTCTTTTTATTATTATTAATATTTATAGAAATGTATTATTGATATCAATAATGTATTAATAACATTAATAAATTAATCTATGTGAAAGCGTCCAAGAATTATAGCAAATTTGGTTGTTCACAGCTAGAAGAAATATTTTTGGATCAAACAGCTTCTTAAATGCAAACCTGAGTTTCCTGCAGTAATGGTGAAAAACTGATTAACAGTCACAGAATCACAGAACGGTTGTGGTTGGAAGGGGCGTCTAGAGATCATCTAGTCCACAGAGTTACTGGAAAGCTTGCACACGCACACCTACACTTTAGTCATGGTGTGAAACATCACATTCAGGAGCTTTTGGCACTTTTACTTAATAGATTACTTCTAGCCCTGGGCTGCGATATTAGCATGACATTCGCAGAGGACAGAGAGCAGCTCTCCTTCCTTCCTCCACACATCTCGGCTTGGGCTCCCTGCCTTTGCCAAGCACAGGCTTCCAGGAAGCATTTGAGAACCAAGCACAGCCCATTTTCTTTATATTTCTTTCTACAAATATTTATGTGCTCCAGATCTTTTTTGCGTGCATTACTGGCCAAATGCATCTAAATGCTAAAGCCCAGCTGTTTGAGGAGTTTTCTAAGTACTATTTTACAGTATTCTTTTGAATTTAAGACAAATAAAAACTTAGTTTCAAACTCAAGTTTTTTCCCCTGCCATTAAACAAACACTCCTACCACAGCAACAGCTAGTATAGTTATTGAGTACCAAGAAGGCTGTGTGACAGTAGAACAACTTTTTTTAAACCCTATATAATGAGGGATAACAAAATAGATTCAACACAGAAATTCCAGTAACAAGGAATAAGAGGGAAAAGAATTTAAATGACGGAAAAATGTGAGTTAAAGAGTGAATACAGACACAACCATCTGGGTATATAGCATGATTGTTGTAGTGTCACCAAATAGTCTCCAAATTTTCATAGATCCAAGCGATCAAAATAAAGCTTCTGAACATGAAAGCTGCTGCAGAAGAATCCTTCAAGTCCTCCTGTCCAGACTTATAAATAAATACTGCTACCATAACCAGTATGTTTGATGTGGCTAGGCATCACGAGCTAATAAAATCACTTTCAAAAATTGCTAACATAAGGTAGTCTTAACAAATTATATACCCATTTCTACATTCAGAAGTGGCAGTTGAGTCAAATTGACTAGATTTTGCAAACAACTGGAAGTTGACGTTACAGGACCAGAGGCAAGTCTATAAGCACATATATTCCGATTTTATTTATGTGACAGGCTAAAGTAAACTAAAATGCTGATTTTTCCTCCTGAAATACAAACTTCTTATTCTGTAGTGCAATGTTTGAGGAAAGTTCTATAGATCTGTAAGAAACACAAAAGAAATAAAGAAATCTTACAAAAGCTTTGCAGATGTGTTTTCCCTTGTGTTGCAAGGTTTTCCCTTGTAGCTGACCATGAGTCTTTGGACTGAAACTGGAATACCAATATATACACTATTAACGTTATTATATGTTTACAGACTACAGTCAACAGAGAGATGATGCTTGTAAGAACAGCACAGAGTCACAAAATCACTACAGCAATGAGATTAAAAAGAGCTGTCTTATGATACCTAATGTAGAGCATAAAATATCTCTCCTGCACAGAGCTCCTGCATATGAAGATTGATTGCATATTTGTACATAAAAGCATGAGGTTACGATTCTGCTGTAAACTACAGAACCACAAAATCAATATGTGCTTGAATATCCTACATTCAAGGCAGTTCACTGTGGGACAATCCGTCAGATACAAGCGTATCTACGCTCGGACTTGGTGCAGACCTCTTGGCACCAAAGCTCCATCCATAAAGAAAACAGAGTTACTTAGAAGGCTCCAGTGTGCTATATATACATGTAAGTTTAAACTGACTGCCAAGAATTCCCTTGACTGAGTACAAAACAATCTTTTTATATTAATATAAAGGATCATTTCCTTTAGGGATAAATGTTCAGGATTGTTTCAGGGTTTTTCCTTTCTTTCCATAAGAACTTGGGACAACAGCACCTGCTCTGCTGCCATATTTTTGCACACTTGAATGATTTAATAGTGTTAGAAAAGCTTGTTCCTTATAAACTGTGATAAATAGTTGCACTCTGTAAAGACTGCAGTAGTAAAAATAAAACGCTCTGACTATACCAAATAGGGGTATTATGTGCAGTATGTCACAAACTGCATTAGTTTTGGTGTTGTAATGTTACTGATCTGAAAAAAAAAAAAACAGATTAGGATTATGTATACCGCAGGTACCAACTCAAAATACTGTGATACACTATAATGTAAAAGACATGAGATAGGTCTCTAGAACCAGGACCAAACCTTGAAGGAACAAAGAGCAAGAGGGACTAAATACTGGGGAACCTTCCCTCGCTTCCCATAGAAAAGAAGCGTCAGAGATGCCATCATTACATCACTTGAAACCGGGTTAGACAAAACCCCTCAGTCCTTTCCTGAGAAGGGATGGGACACACAAATTCACGTTTTCCCCATCTCAGCTTGCAGTAGCACAAACTACCTGTGCACAGGAGCAGAAAGCTCAGCTCCCTTCCCTGCGCAGGGCACTGGTGTGAGCACCCGCTTGCTTCACTGCCCCCCGCAGAGCGAAGCACTACTGGCTTAGGTCATTTAGACTGAAGCCTGTATTTCATACTTAGGCTTTAGATTTCATCTAAGCTGCTGTATATATGCAGGCATCTTCTGGCCCTGGGCTCAGTGAGGTGACAAGTAAGGAAATGCCCTGCTGAAGAAGAAATCTCCATGTGGGGAAACTCTTCTAGTGGCTATTTTGGCTGCTTGAATTTCACTAGCAAAGGGTCATTTGCTGCCTGAAAAGCTCTATGACAGTGTAGCCAAGACTGGTCTCCAAGATCTGCAAGGTATATCAGCTCTCTGCTGCAAGCCAGTTCGTGCAATGGAGAGAGATCGTAATCTGAGATGCAAATCCATCTTCACTACCTTGCAAAATGTTTTGTTAATTTAAACTATTAGTCCTTATCACTGGAAAAAAATCATCATAACAATTTTGAGTGTGTCATCTCTGCTACAGGGAGCACGTTTTTCCTTTCGCTGTGACAGCTTTCCATGCAATCCTGGGTTAAGTATTTCTGTCACCAGTTATCCTGAGCTATCTGCCTTTCCTGTGTTGTTATCGCATTCAAATGTGATGCCTCATCCCTAGCCAAAGGCTCATTTGCCATTATGCTTCCTAGGGCTCTTGCATCTTTATATGGCACCACATCCATTATACTCCTTCCTCTATTTAATTAGTTGCAAGATTCCCCATCATACGATCTAATTAATTCAATTTGTCCCCAAAATCTTGACTGCAAAAAACATAAATAATACATTTTCAATACCCTTTATTCAATACCCTCACTATAAGCCTTGTAGTATCAATACCATTTTTCATCCCTGCATCTTTAGATACCTTCATCCTACAGACTCGACTCTTCTCTGTTGCCGAGATTGACTCGGGTGAGGAAGTGAGAAATGCAAAAATGGAAAATGAAAATGCATGCAAGAAATGAAAAATTCTCAGGTTCCCTCTGTTCCACAGAAGCTGCTGAATATGTGAATAAGGAAGGGAGGGTTCATTTGCTGGAGAAAAAGCACAGGAGAACCAAGAATGGAAAAATGCAAAACATAGGCATCTTCCTTTCTTATTTTATTGCCGGCCTGGGGAAGCGCAGGCAAACAACTCTCCCTGATTCTGGGCTCAGCTGCTATCTTCTAGTGGCATAAACTTTCTTAAAATTATGAAGATTAATTCTCCTTTTGTTTTCAGAGGGAAACAAATCTTTTCAGTGTGTTTTTTAAAATTTTGAGCACCCATATGACATAATTACTGATCTCTTTCTCTGTGAATGATTCAATTTTTACCTCATACTTTACCTGCTAAAAGTACAAATACTTAGGATGTGGAATGCTTTTAATTGCGAAAAGCTTAAGACCAAAGCAACGCCCATGCCTCTCACATAAAGAATTTATAATAGGAACTTACCTGCCATTATTATTTATTATTCAAACTGCATTCACACTAGAGAAAACAGCAGCACACTTGCTGACCGAGCACAAAAGCAACCTCTTACGTCTCCCTCAGTTGAGCGGTGCTAATTTAATGTAGTCTAATAATTTCCCCTCAGTCCGAGCAGAAAGCTTTCCCACCTTGCTTAGAGATAAGGGCTGCCTTTTACAAACAAGGCGCAGGCTGCAGGATGCAGCAGTAGCTGCCCTGACCCCGGCTACGAGGCAGGAGCAGAGCCAAGGAGAAGCACACGCAGCAAACAGCGCCCAGCCCCAGGGCAACCAAAGGCCGTCTGTGACCTACTGCAGCCCACAGAGGCAACTACACGAACGGCAGAACTTTAGTCACTGGCATTGGCCAATCCAAGCGATCCATCAATACCATCAACCTTAGAAAAAGTACTTCCTTCATGCCTGTGATATGAAGCATAGAGGCACCGG